TTCTTGGAAAAGTAAAGTTCTACTTCTTCAGCCTCAAAATTCTAGTGATAAAAGATAAGAGCGTTTATGGGCTTACAGGGCTTGGGGTTGAGTAAATCTTACAATTTAATCTTTTATTAAAAAAAAACACACCCAAACCCAAAAACCTCACAGACTGCCGTACAACACAACTAAGCAAGCAATGTATCAAATGCATGCAAGACAGCAGCTGATGGGAAGCAAATCGAATTCCCAGTGCCCTCTACCCACTCCTTGCTAGAAATCCACAACTTCTAGGAGCACTTACAGCAAAGCAGCCAATGACATCATTCTCCCCAAAAGTCTGGCCAAATTCCTCAAACTGCCCATTCTCTGCCTTGAGTCCTCGTCCATCAAAACCATAAGAGAATTCATCCTCACCTAGAATAGTCAACAAATTAGTTACCCACATCCAAACTTCTCATGGAGTAAGGAAGATGGTAGCAAACACCAATGATTAAGTTAAAATAACTTTACCTAGCTGTGGGTGGGAAAAATCTACAGACCATCCAACTCGAAGGAGGGAAACCTCTGTGCAGCCTTCTTTCATTGGGAGATTCTGGGTTACCTGGCCAAATTGAAAAAGAAACTCTCAGAAACTCTGGGCAACTCAATAGCAAAGTTTAAGTTAAAAAGGCAAGATTTTTTATACAAACTGAAAGCAACTATCAAAACTCATCATCAGAATAACAACCATCAATGAACTTAAACAAAGCCATGGGGGTCAATTTCTTGGCTATTGGAGCTAAGGTTATTTATTGTTAAAGTGTGGAGCCTTTTTCTGCACTAATAAAATACTGGTGGGCAAGAGTCCAGTACACAGTTGTTTAATGAATAATTTAATAAATGAATGGTCTTAATGAGCTGTGCATACTACCTTGGCCTCAAAGCAGACTTTCCCCTTTGTTACTCCATAAGTACTCCTTGCCCCAGACCACAGCGTGGGGAACTTCTCTGAGAAAAGTGGCTGCCCTCCATAGCGGTCTTTGCTCACTTGGAAATGGAGATCCGAGGTATCTGTTAAGAAACAATCTGTTCACTCTAATGCCCAACAATTGAAAGCCACCAACAGAACACAAACATACCCAGTTGTCAAGAAGGGATACAAAGTCTCCCACATGCTAAATCTTTTAAAAGTTGCAGGCCATGAAGTTTTAATCTCCCAAATCACCTCTGACTGGTTAAAACCCCAACCTGTCTGCCTCATACATACACGTGTCCAGGTTCACAAGAGTTTGATCCTCCTCCTCATCTTTTGCCTCTTCCTCTGGGGGTGGTGGAGACTTTGAGCTATACATGAGAGAAAAGCAAATACAATGTAACCAAAGCCCTCTTCTTTTGAGGGGTGTCAGAACAGCTTCTTTCAGCAAATGAGAAAAGGGCAACAGGAGCTTCCAGGGTAGATTCAATCTAAAACTTATGCCTATAAAACCCTATTTCATTTTTAATCCACCCCTCTTTGCAGACTCTCCAATCAACACCAGGTATACCAAAATCAGAGCAGACACTCCCTTCAATGAAAAGGGACTGTTTCCCTCACCGGCTGTGGTAAGCCTCCTCTCGGAATTCATAGTAAGCTCGGCCATGTTCATCCTTCTCATCCCGCTGTCTCTTTACCCCCCGCCGCTCACCATCTGAGCCTGCTGGTTTTGACTTTTCACTATCTTGGTCATCTCCTACAAAAAGGAGGGAAAGAAAATCAGCAGTTTTTCATACTGGAGTGTAGAATAAGCTCAGAACCAACAGAAACTTAAGGGGGATCTGAGTATCTGTCTAATCAGAATAGCCAAGTTACTCCCACTGCATCCACAGAACAGTCTATTTTCAAAGATCATCTTCCTGTCATTGGCTGGGATTCTTATTTAAAAAAAAAAAAGACACTATGGGCTAGTTACAGTCAAGCAGTAGATAAAAATTGGACAATTCTTGCATTCTAAATTTATCTGCTTAAATCAGGTCAAATTTGCAGATTTCCCCACCAAAATGACATGAAAAACATATCCCCTAAGTCTTTTTTAATTTAATTTTGATTCTTGATTGTCAACGAGAATTGAAGCTAGACAGAAAACATTTTCCAACACTTCCACAGCTTCATGATACAGAGGCCTCACTTTTTTTTTTTTTTTAAGTTTGCCTTTCCAGCTTTAAAATGCACAGCCATCACGGCTTTACTACTTAGTCAGCAAGTGGACTCAGGTGCATGATAGAGCTGTATTTTTATCATGGATTTTTACTGAAAGTAAACCACTAAGTCATAAGAAATCCATAAACAATACTGCATCTTTGCTGCACATAATTTGGGGGCAGAAAGGTGTTGTCATATATTAAGCAACATTCTTTACAAGAGAAAAGCAAAGGAATTTTTCCTTAGGCTTTTGTAGTTTGCAATACTAAGAAGGTTTTTAATAATAATTTAAGGCAGTCTTTTATCCCTCAACCTTTATTATCTGCTATTTGGGATACACGTTAAGTCAAAGGTTATGTAATGGAATTTTTGTTCCAGGACATAGGACAAACAATCTTCAAGTTGCATGTGACTATTGTAGAATGGGTTCCAGTTATACTATACTAAGTAGCAGCCCAAAAAATGTATTATAAAAAGAACTGAGGCAACCAACTTCATACTACAACTTGGAAGACGCTCTAGTTTTCCAACCTACTCTCACAGATAGTATGGATCACCTCTACCCATCCAATCACTTCAAAGGAAGAGAGAAAGGTCACTAACTCCCTGCGGTGACTCTACACATTCTCTTCCACAAGGTTACTCAATGGACCCAACAACAGCTCAATCATTTCAATTCAGTCAGGGACCGGAAATGTAAAAAGCTAGCTAAGTGTACAGCAAATTTACAAATATGCCCATCCATCAACTGAGTGGGAAGATTATATTTTAATCTTAAGAATACAAAGTAAACCCCAAGCCAAGTTAAGTGACTTTTCCTAAATGTACCAGATTAAGGCTTTCTCTTCACTAGTTAACTATTAAACTGGACACCGTCACACCACAGGCTGTCCCCTGCTGCTAAAGCAGGAGCAAGGTTAGATTGCCAGATTCTCTGTGTGGCTCAAACTCTTAACAATGTGCTTCTGATGGAGAAAATTTTGACGACTTTAGTTTATTGCTTAATATTTTTATGGCGAAAAAGTCAACAGTCAGGTAGCCCAAAGGCCGAAGCCTCCAACAATCGGTCTGGTTGTCCGCGGAATCGCCAGTTCGTTAGCGAATTCTCATTCTCGGTTTAGCAAAAAATAACCAGGACCGCAGGAGGCTGCTCCACAGGTAGCCACAGGCAGTTCGCATGCAAAACTGCTCACTTCTACCCACTACCACCAACGAACCAAGTTAAGCAAGAACCTCCCTCCTGCAGAGTGAGGCCACCAGAGGTGGCCAAACCTCCTAGAAAAGGGGGTCGAGAATGAAAGTCACCTCCCCTGGGGAGTCCCATCAAATGCTGATGAGAATCAGGCACTTTCAGGAAAGTGAGAAGAAGGGATCGGACCCTGGGGTGCAGGGCTGGGTGCTGGGACAGGGGCGCACCCGGCAGGCTGGAGCAGGACTCCGCTGCCAGCTCCTCACCCTGTTCCTCTGCGGCCTTGTCACCCGGCGCCTCGGATCCCGGCGTCTCGTCCCCGCTCCGCTCCTCCGGCTCGTCTTCCTCCCCCTTGCCGGTGCCCTGCTCTTCGCCACCATTTACCCCACCTGACTCGGCCGTGGCCTCCTCCGCCGGCCTCTCGGAAGCATCCGGCTCGGCCGCGGCCTCCATGGCTGCTGCCTCCGGGGGCTCTGGCGGTGGCTGCGCGGCCTGGCCCGAAGCCTGGGCAGGGGGCGGCTCTTCGTCCTCGTCCTCAAGCAGCGCCTCCTCGTCCTCCTCCTCCTCTTCGTCGTCCTCCTCGTCCGCGCCCGGGCCTCCGCCCGACGCGGCCACAGGCCGAGGCTCCGCCTTGCAGGCCCCGCCGGGCCCGGCCCCGCCACCACCGGCCTCGTCCTCGAGCATCTCGGCGTCCAGCGCCTCCTGCAGCCGCTGCGCCAGATCCACCTTGAGGCCGCGCGAGTCCAGGCCCCGCCGCTGCAGCTCCGACCGCAGCTCGGTCACTTTCAGCCGCTTCACCTCCATCGCAGCCGCCGCCTCCTCCGCCTCCCGCCGCCTCCTCCCCTGCGAACCGTCGACCGAACCCGAACGCGCAGGCGCCGCCGCCGCCCGCCTCCGCTTCACGCGCCAGCACTGAGCCCGCGCGAGCGAGCGCACGCACGGACGCACGCAGGCGACAAGGACTTGCGCGCAGCCTCCGCTACGTCGTGTTTGGTTCTCCCTCCAGGTCCCCTCCCCTTTTAGGCTCACGGAGCCCAAAACAACGCAGCAGGATAATGTTTCCCTCCCTGCTCCCCGGGTTCCGTTACCGCTGGCGGGCGCGCGCCGAGGACGACGGACTTCCCTCCCTTTAACCTCCCACCCCGTCTCACCCCCTGAGCCAATCGCCGCTGGTAGTTTCACCGCGCAGCCGCACCGGAGCCGAAGACGGGGAAGGCTGGCTGCGACTCAAGTGCCTCGTTGCATGAAGGCGTGTGCGCACCCGTTTTTTCGTACTTCCAGCTGGGGACTGCGCAGCCTCCCGGAGCTCCCTTCGCACACGCCCTTTCCATCCAGTCACCACCCTCACTCCCATCTGACTTCGGATCGCGCTGTCGTGTTGGGAGTTGCTCACTAGTCCCTCTTCTCTACTGTCTATACATGCAGAAGCTTCTTGAGAGTCAGAAAAAAAGCCAGAAAGGAAGCTGTCACAACGTGGAAGCCTACTAGTAATTGTCTTTCTGCTTAGTAAACCAAACGGCTCTCCAAAACCAAGGAATACAGTAACCACTTGGCGCCCTTTTCCCCATTCCTCAACTTCTACCCAGCAACAGACGCCCTGACCTCGACATTTAGCTCTCTTATTGGCGAACTTGAATCGTCATCTGCAACTCTGATTGGTCTTTCATGATCGTCCGGATTTTTCCAATTGGCGGAGCTGCCGGGGATTTTTTTCCCCCTCCCCTCCCCCCATCCCGGGTTGGCCCGCAGGGGAGGCTGCAGGGCTGCAGAGGCGGGGTCGTTTTGCGGGATTACTTTTCTGGGGCCGCTTCTGATTGGGTGCCGTGGCGCAATGCGCGCGACCCTTTAAACAACAAACTGTCAGGAGACCGGATCCTGTCATCTGGATGCTCCGGTCGGTAAAGCGAAGCCCAGGGGGAGATTTCCGGGCTTGGGCATTTGCCAGAGAGCAGGGGGCTGCCCGAGGGGCTTAGAGGACGTGCAACTGAGCAGCTCTGCGGTTGGGTCAGTCTCGGCCTGTGGGTTGTGGTGCACGGATCACATTCACCTCAGCTCCCCAGCTCCTGGCACAGATGTCAACAGTTGTTGGTTGAATACGTGCGAATAAAGAGCTGGGATGGGGGCAAGCCCTTTAGACTCTTAGCAGTTATCCCCGCCTACTTCCTTCCACTTCCAGGTCAGGGAGGTGTGTCTAAAAGTAAGGAGGAAGCAAATTCCGCCGGCGTTCGCACGCCTGCCACAATTCGTTAGTGCGGCCTTTGCTTTTTCGGGGTCTCCTCACCCCGAATCGCCTCTTTGGAAAATCACTTAATCTCTGGCTTTACTATTCCCACATCCTCTCCCTGATTACTTTCTTGCACTTCTAGAGATTGAAAAATACTGCAGAAGAGCGGGAGGGGCTGTAGTGGATACAAGCAAAACTCCTTCCCTGGAGGGACTCCTGGAGAAGTCATTTCCTGCCTACTTAAGTCGGCTATCAAAATCAGTAATTTTGCTTCCATCTCCAGAGCTTCAGTTGCTTTCTCACTTACCAGTTTCTCAAGCGTTATGGAGAAGCGCCTGCAGGAGGCTCAGCTGTACAAGGAGAAAGGGAACCAGTGTTACAGGGAAGGGAAGTACCGAGATGCTGTGAGTAGGTACCATCGAGCTCTGCTTCAGCTGCGGGGTCTGGATCCAAGTCTGCCCTCCCCGATACCTAACCTAGGACCTCAGGGCCCAGCTCTCACACCTGAACAAGAAAACATACTGCACACCATCCAGACAGACTGCTACAACAATCTAGCTGGTAAGAACAGGGCTGAAGGGTGGGGTAGAGTATCCAGGCAGGCACATGAAAATCTGTGACCATTGGAAAAAACACTGACGTGCTTTTCTGCTATCATTCAATTCTGCCATGAATTGAAATATATTTCCAATCTATAGGGCTGTAATTGAGTTTCTGTAGGACGGTAGTGTCACACTTCAGCTGGAGAGTTTGTTAAACACAACTGCTGAGCCCCACCCCCCAGAGATTCTGATTTACTGGGCCTTAGGTAGTGCCTAAGATTTGTATTTTCTGACAGACTCCCAGGTGATACTAATAGGTTTAGGGAATTTTGCACGTTATAGAGAAAGTACTGAACTTACCTTCAGGGTGTTGTTTCTTTAATATTTAAAATACAGGAAAGAAGGCACCTGCTTCAATTGGTGTAAGTCATCTATATTAGACATTTTTGGTAGCTTTTCCTCATTTTCCACCTTATAAACCAGCTAGATGGTAACTTGGATGAGTAGTGTCTTCCGTCTCCAGATGGCCTTGGATGAAGAGATGGATGTTAAGAATATCTCTAGGATTAATCTGCTAAAAGAAAGATTAATTCTTAGGTCTGTTCTATGGCAGCAAAAATAACCACAGAGCTAATTAAATTATTTTGAAGTATATTAAAACATTCTAATGGGCCAAGTTGAAGCCATAGAAATTATTAGGAGCGGTTTTTACACTTTGTAATGGTTGTTTAAAAGTGATTCTTTTTTTTACTACAATACTCATCAGCTATAGTGTGGCAAAAATCAAGCTTTTTTACAGTGTGTGTCCAGTGCTACTCTTAGACTCAAGTAACAATAATTATGGTAGCTAATGTTTCATTTCAACAATTATTTATTAGATGCTGAGGATCCCTGCTCATGGAACATGTATTCAAGTAAGGGAGATGAACAATTAACAACAACAACAAAAGCCACACAAATATGTATATGAAGGTGATAAGTACCATGGAAAAGAAGTAAAGCAGAAAATGGGGATAGTGATTGCTCCAGGCATGGAGTATTCACTTTTAAAGAGTGGTCAGGGAGAGCTCATTGAGGTGACATTTACAAAATGCCATGGGCAGACACTGTTTAAGCCCTTTACACATATTAAGCTATGTAAGTGCCATGAAAATCATTTGAGGTAAATTTAAGGAAACAGCTAATAAGCGATAGAGCTAAAATTAAACCTGGGCAATTCTTAACTCCAGAATTCTTATTGCAAAATACTGCCCACTATTAGAGAATAGGATATGTATTAAGGAATTGACTAGAAGTCAAGGAAATGAGATGTTATAGAGATGGGTGTCTGTCAATATCTTGACTGCAGGTTGGCTGGAAGGCAGAGACACTGGCTCAGCCATCTGTAAAGCCTCTGCTTGTGGGTGGTTGGTAGATGCTCCCTAAAGACTCACTGAATGAACAGTTTCCATTTATTGACTGCCTATAACATGTTGAGAATTTATTTACGATATCTCTCATTTCACAAAAATTCTGGAAGGAAGTTAGGGTTATCCCCATTTTACAGATAAGGAAGCCAGATCATATCACTGCCTAAAACCTTCCGATAGCATCTCATTACACTTAGGAAAAAATCCAAACTCTGACCCTTACCCCCAGGGCTGGATGTGATCTGGCTTCTCCATACACTGACTTTGTAAAGTACATTTCCTCCTTCCAGCAGCTCTGTAGGATCTCTTCTCTCAGGTTAGAATGCCCTGTCCCTTGAATGACTCTTGTCATTCAGATCTTGGCTCAGAGGTAGTTTTTTTAGAGAGGACTTCAGTAACCAAATTACACTCTGACCTCATTCACTCTCTATCCCAGGACAGTTCTGTTTTTCTCAAAGCACTTTTGAAAAATTCATTTATTTGTTTATTGTGTCTTCCTACTACTTGGGGACTAGAGTGCGAGCTCTTTACTCATCAAGATGTCTGTTTTGTTCCTCTTATCCCCTGTTCCCGCTCTGCCTCACATACAGTCATTGCTCCATAACTAGTTGTCAAATGAATGAAGCTACAGCAATGAATTAAGTGACCACCAATCTGGGGAAATATCTAAGTATAAACCATATGACCACTTGGTGGGGATGTTGCAGAAGGAATGCAAACATCGGTCCCTTAGGTCCTTTAGTAACTCATCAGCCCTGATTCTCGGTTCTTCTCAGCACCATGATGTGATAATACTAGGTTTAATTCCCACAATTAAGAAATAGGGAACCATTTCCCTTCTTAATTATACAAAGGAGAACATTGGCCTGAACATTGTCTCCTAAACAGATTTGTATTTTGAGGTGCCATTCAGTCATCCAAGGGAATGGTGAAGTAATATGTCATCAAAGAGAATGAGGATAATTTTGGAGTTAGAGAGTCCTTGGTTCAGATTTCTTATTCCACCTAGAAGCTGTGGGATCTTGGACAACTCACTTTACCTCTCTGAGCCTTGATTTCTTTATCCATTAAATGGAGGTAGTAACACCGATTTCATAGGGTGGATGAGAAGATTAAAGAAGCACATAGCACAGTGCTTGCTCTTGCCTCACACAAGTAATGGCAACCATGGTTGTTAACAAAGCTGCAGTACAAGAATGGTGGTGAAATGGGAGATTCAAGACAGAGCCTTGGGTAGAAGATACCAACGAGGAAGAGGTTTAAATAAATTCTAAAGTATGTCCTTATCAGTTTTGTAGCTGGGCCTAACCCAGCGCTAGGTACTAGTAGACATTTGGTAGATACTAAAGAAGGTCGAAGGCATGTAGAGCTTTTAGTCACTGTTGCATCCTCAGAGCCTAGAATAATGTCAGCACTTGGTAGACACTTAACATTTATTTGTTGGATGAGTGAATGTTGTAATCATCCTGTGTTTGGTACCGTCTTGAGTCGGCCAATGGAATTTAGTGCAATAAGGGCCTCCTCCCTCTTCTCTCTGCCTTTTATTTGGTCCCATTAGCCTGTCTCCTTCAGATGGAGCCAGTAAACTACGAACGAGTGAAAGAATACAGTCAGAAAGTCCTGGAACGACAGCCTGATAATGCCAAGGCCTTGTATCGCGCCGGAGTGGCCTTTTTCCATCTGCAGGACTATGACCAAGCTCGGCACTACCTATTGGCCGCTGTCAACAAGCAGCCAAAAGGTGAGAGAGAAGGGGGTTGAAGTGGTAAGGACAAAGGAAATTGTCCTACTGAGGAGGTAGGTGTGGAACGGGGTTTTGTCTGATTTTACTTTGAATTTATTGAATTTTTTGACTAGGTAATAATATATTCACGTGGTTCAAAATTCAAAAAGTGTAAAAGTATGCAATAAACAGGCCTTCTACTCTTGTATCCTTGTCTCCACAGGAAAGCAATGTGGTGTATCCTCCAGAAATCTTTATGTTTAAAAGGGAGCATATATAATCTCCCTTCCTCCCCCCAGTGAGAGAGAATTTAAAGCATTGTTTTTCAAGTTTCAGTTCCTAAGTTGTGACTGAAATAGGGTCTGGATTCCAGTGAATACACTTGATAATCCTTATTGCTTCCAGCTCTCCAGCTGGGGTCTGGCTTTTGCTTTATCAATTTATCCTTTAGCTCAACAAAGCCCAGGTATGACCTAGAAAAAGGCCTACTGAGAGAGAATCTGAGACTTGCTCCTTTGTTTCCAGGGCAAAAAGGATATTGCTAAGCAGATGGCTGGTTCAGCACTGAAAATTGTTTCCCTGTTCCTATTCTGGCTTAGAGCAACTGCTAGATGATAGAAGTAGAGGGTCCCCAAACGTTATAACAATACAGTAATATCTCACTAACTGAATGAGACAGCCACTATGAATTAATAAACATATAAAATATGAGCCACTTGTTCATATTTCTTACCTTCAAGTATATAGGTTAAGCGCCACCCATGTAGAGTATCTTTAATGGCTCTGCTATGACAATAACTATGTCTTCAAACTCCCTTTCATTATAAAATTAGCAACCAGCCCAGACCTGTACAGAGAGTTTTTTAAAAAAATTCAAAGTAGTATTAATGAGATTTACTTTTGCATGGAATAGTTGTGATATATTCAGATCTTAGAATGATTTTTAAAAATGGAAGTATGTTAACAGTCTTTGGCCCCCGAGATGCAATTATGTTCTAACTGTCTCTGACTTCTTCACCCTCTTCTAAGATGCCAACGTCCGGCGGTACCTTCAGCTAACACAGTCTGAACTCAGCAGCTACCACCGGAAAGAGAAGCAGTTGTACCTGGGCATGTTTGGTTAACAGAGAAGAAGGGTGCTCCTCTACTTGAACTTAGGTGAACCATTAAAGACCCATCAAGGGAAACCTGAGCCTCACAAGAGAATTAACCCCATACGTCTGACCAAGGTGGATTTCTGTCTTGTCTCTAGTTCTGTACGAACTCTTTACCACTTACACAGTCTGCCTCTTTTTTGTCTGTCGGTCTGTATATTTGGCTAGCTTTCAATCCATGGTATTCTTGGGGACATTTACTTTGAGGCATAGAACCAGAAAACATTCATTAGCTATGGGTAGAATTGTCATATGTATGGCATAGATTTTAATGATCGATGTTGTTAACTGTATTCATATACAGAGGAGAAGGTTAGCAGATGATGAAAATGATTGACAGAAGTTTCTTCCTTTGTTTCCTCAGATGCCAAAAGCTAAAGTTACACAGGCCACAAACTGGGCAATATATTTCTTTGGTGAAGCTAGACAATTACGAATTGGCCCACAAGTCTTAAAATGAAAAATATGAAATTAACCATGTTTGATTAAATTAATTCCTTATTCTTAATATTTCATGTACATTCAGATTCTTTTTTCCCTCCAGGAGCATCTAGTTCCTGTTATTTCTCTTGGTAACTTCTAGTCCTTTTTATTGTTTATACTCATCATGAATATAGTATACTTATTTTTTTCATTAAACTCTTCTATCTTAAAATCTCTGGAGTCAAGCATTTAAGTATTTATTTAATAACCCTTCAGCCTTCGTGCCAAAAAAACACACAAGTAAACATTTTAAGTTTTAATAGGCACATAGCTATATATAGTGTGCTCATTTCTCTAAAACATTAGGAAAGACATATTACTGTCTTTCAGAAACAATAAAAAAAGAGCAGGATAAAAACATAAATCCATTCTTTACCTGTCACCTTGTATTTTGCAAGAGCAGTTCCTTTACAGAGGAGGGAAACAAGGAGGAAGGGTTCTCCTTCCTTAGTGCCTTTTAAGCACTTTTAAGAACTTTCTGGAAGCTGTGTTGGGCACAGGTGCAGGCTGCAGGTCTGGTGCAGTCATGGCTCCGTCAATAAAGATTGTCATTCTACTAACTTGTTGTGAATAATGCCCACAGTCTATGAGTTCTGCAGAGTAGATGAGACCGGAAAGCACTGCCTCTACCTTTGAGAGGAGGTGATAATGATAAGCACATGTCACTAGCCATCATATAACTACAGACAGATTTCAGGAAAAAAACCCACCTTAGTCTTGTCAAGTGTACATGCGTTCTTCTCCCTTTATTAGTAAAACCGTCTCTCCCAGTGAGCTAGGCTCCTTTTTGTGTCTCCCTCCACCCTTAAATAATACAACCATTAGCTTACAACAAACAGTTTTTCTACCAAATTATCTTATGAAGCCCAAGGACAGAACTAACAAAAGTAGAATATTTTATTCCTCTTCTAAGCTGCTTAAATTTCTAAGCCTAGATTGTTGATAACATTTTGTCACAGTTGCATGGTTTGTTTTGGGCTTGTTTTGCTTTCTGATTTTGTTTTGTTTTGTTTTTTTGTTTTTTTCCCCAAGACTTAATGTTACAGTGAGCTATCTTCATCAATGAGAAAAAAATAAAACTGATATTTAAAACTGTGTTTTAGAAATGTATTGCCCTCATCCTTTTATTAGCGCTGCTTAGAGACAAAGTAGTTGGACTTACAGTTCAGTCTTTATTTCCAAGGCCAGGTCCTATGGAGATGTTAATGAACAGGAAAGTGGACAAAGATAGGCTGTCTGACTGGGTCTGGAGGAGGTCTGGCAAGCCCACATCCTGAAGGAATCAGCCAGCAGGTACCAACATCTCTATACTCAAGTTTGTCGAGGTGGAGGCTGTTCACCTTACCAATCTTTAAAGGTTTCCACACAGGATTTAAGGGTTAGATTGAAGAGAAAGCATTCGTGGCGGATGTGAAGGTTCAGACTTTGGCACATAAGGAACAATTTAGAACAGTGTTTTCTGAACTCCTCCCAACCCCTTTTACAATTTTGCCAAAACCACATACTACTATTTAGTTGATATTTTATTTAAATATATATTTTTAAAGGACGCTTTGGACAGAGGAACATGTTAAATGATACCATGGGAATGCACAGCAAACTCCAGACTCTGAAACAATGAGACAAGTAACCCAATTTCTTCAATAAACAAATTGCAAATAAAAGAGAGGGGAACCTATAGATTAAAAGAGGCTTAAGATACATCAGCCAAATAAATGTGACTCTATTTCTGATTTGAAAAAAACTAAAAGTTTATATGATACTGAAATAAAAGAAAATATATATATTGGTCTCTTCCCAGTCCTGGCACAGAGCTCCTAAAACCCTTGGGATTTGCATTTCTGATTTGAAAAAACAAAAGTTGATGAGATAATCATGGAAATTTGAACAAGAATTTTGTCAATTTTGTTGAATGTGATAATGTATTTGGTCTTTTTTTCAAGATTACTGCATACTAAAATTGTTTACTGATAAAATTGGGGAGGGGACTTTAGAGCACATCATATTATTTGTAAAAAAAAAAGAAAAGAAAAAAAAAGATTTACAATAAAGAAGTATTGGTATATGTCCAAGTAAACTATCTTTGGAAACACTGGCTTTGGAAAACTTAAAATCAAAACCAGTGTGAAAAAAATCCAATGTGATGGGCTGATTGGTGAGTTTCGTGAAGCTGAGCTTGGCCAAATGTTGATTGAAGCGGCATTAGACACCAGGTAAAGGCACACTTACAAAATAGCCAATTAGGAAAACAAATGAAATCCTAAACTAGAAATATGTCTCTAAAGCTGGAGAGCAAAGGGTAGTTGTTTGAAAACGAAGCTTATAACTCAAAAGCAAATAACTTCTCAGGGTGCAACTTAATTGACTGGGGCCTGGCCTGTCCTCCACATAAAAGGAGGCCGATTTTGGCTCAGTAGAAGGAAGCATTATCCAACAATTAGAGCTGTCTAACAATGGAGTAGGTTTCTATGGGAGACAGTGCTCTTTCAAACAGGTTTAACTGGCAAAAGAGTCCGGTGTTGGACTAGAGTGGATGAGCTGACCTGGCCTTCCTTGAATCCGCAAATGGGACCATCAAGAGCAGTGGAAACTATAAAGATTTTTCTCTACTGATCACACCTCTACAGACTGGCATAAACGGTTCCTAATGTCCAGTAGAAAGAAAGTGAGGCATCTGTGGCCTTAATTGTGTTGGCTGCTGCTTTAAACATCTTGAAAATTCTAACTGCCACCTCCAATGAGGAATGCATCTCACATCTAGAACTAATATATTGTGTGTCGACTATACGTCAATAAAAAAATGCATCTCATGCTGGGAACTGAAAGCAAATACTTGCTGTTTAGCAGAATTTCCCCAAGTTATAGATCCTTTTTAGGTATTAAGGGTAGCTGAGACAGTAACAATGGTTACTGTGTTCTCCAGACTGTCCAAATTATTTACATTATATGTACATGCAGACACAGATATTGATTATGCCTTACTTTTAGGAACTGCTGTTCTAATCTAAGGCAACCAATTCCCCCCCCCCCACTATATTTGTGTATCTATATACACATATATATATTTCACATACCACAAAATTCACCCTTTTAAAGGCAACTGATTCTAGGCATTTTGATTTACTGTAGCAAAGATTTTGGAAAAGGTGCTCCATTCAACTAGAATAGCTCTAATTGTACGTCTGTATCTTGCCTTGTTTCACCAAGGAGTTAAGGCAGTAATGTATTTGCATAAATAAAATTAGCCATTTGAAAGACAAAAACTCAAAGGCTATTCCAACACAAGGAAAGTGAAAGGTGTAGACTTCACTCTCCACCATGAACATGTTAAGCATCAACTTTTGCTTCCCATAATGACCCAGATAAGGGGCTTTCTTTGGCCAAATCTTCAATGCTCAGCTCTGTCTCCTTCCCATAACTCAAAAAATGGAACCTGCTAGTGAGAGTTCATAGTACTGATTATGATGGACAAATCCAAAAAGAAAGAGAAGAAATTCAGAAAATTTACTATTTTTACCTTTTTCTAAAATTTCCTTCCTGCTTTTTTTTGCATTGTTCCTTATGTGCTGGAGAAAAGGGTTTGTAGGGAGCCCTCCGGTCCATCCTACAGCAGCACTCTTCACCACAGACTGGGGCAGGCTCTTCTCTTACATTCCTAGAACTCTCCCCCCCCCCATCCCACAACAACACCCCAACTCCCATTTCTCTGTTATCTCTACTGTCAATAACCACCTGTGTGACCGCAGATGAGTAACGGGATCCCTCTAGGTTGTCATCACACTTACTGAGGGAGTTGGACTAGATGAACTTCTCTCATCTGGACTTTCTTGCTTTAGTCTCCCCAAGCACCCATCATTTCCATACCATAGGCCCTTAACCTCCCCCTGCAGACCTACCACCGCGGAGCTTAGTGTTTTCTGCCTTTCAGTTTCTCATCTTCAGAGACCTCAATTCATATTTATGACATGTAGGCAAACATTTCAAGTCATCGATACAGTATCTGTTCTTGCAACAGCCAACAAAGGTCTTTTTACATGGAAAGCAGAGGTAAAGGGCTAAGGGAGCAAAGCCAAACACTCAAAAGAGGCCAAAAAAGAAAACAAGTCACTGTCCTCAGTTAACTGTCTTCAACAATATTTTAAATCAGTATAGGGAATGTTTTAAGTCACAAGCCATGGTTCAAATTCTGGCTTGCCCCTTCACTAGCTCTGTGACCTTGAACAAGTTAACTTTGATTTCTGAGTGTCAAGTTTCCTTGTTAGTGGGAAAAAGGGGGGAGCTAATACCTCATCAAGCTGAGGAGTAAATGAGTATTTATAGGAAGTCTCTAATACAGCCCAGTACATAGGAGCTCAACTACAACAATAAATCGTAATTTTGTAACTTGTATACTTTTCCTAAGTAAAATCTACATTGCCCTCTGCCTATCTCACTTCTTTCTTCATAAGCAGCCTCACCCCCACCCCTACCCCAAGTACAGATGTCAGTTTCCTAAAAGATCAGGAGGAGAGGTAAGAAAGAGTCAGGAGGCAGAGGTTTGTGGAAGAAACCAGCCAACACCAGTTCAACGAGATACTTTCACTGCTAGCTTTATGATCCAGAATGCGGAGTGAGAAGCGATTACACCCCAAGAAAATTCCCAGTGCCCTTGGTGCTGACTGAGATCCATAAGGTCCTGCTATCTGGCTGGGTAAAGAAAAGGATGGGAGGAACCTTCAATGTGGTCAGGAATCTTCCTTCTGTCACCCAGCAGGGGAAATGAGATGCTTCCAACCTTCTGAGCTGCCCCAACGATCGCAAGGAACAGGCCTCGCATCAGCTCATGCTCCCCCAGATGTTACTTTTTGGGGCCAAGTACAAAATCTTTGGGTGGCCCTCCACCACAGTTGTTCTGTCTGTCTGCCATAGGGGAGCCAGGGAGGGGCTGCACTCCTAGGAGGGGGCCAGCCTCTGGATCTGGTTTGCTGCGTTTGGCCAGGTCCTCATTGTGAGCCTTGCGGATGTGACGGTACAGGTCCCCTGACTGCGTGTAGCTGCGCAGGCAGTAGCGACACTCGTAAGGTCGCTCACGTGTGTGCACTGTGGCGTGTCGCCGTAGTGTATAAGAGCATGAGAAGGTCTTTCCGCATGTCTTACATGTGGGAACATCCTCAGTAAAAACCCCAAAGCTTCCTGGGGCTGCTTCATACTCAGAAGGCAGGTAAAGTGGCTCATGCAGGGCCGGAGGAGCAGGCAGGGGCGAGCTCATCAGTCCTCGATGATATTGCCCTGGACCTGGCAGCAAATGGTAGGGGAGGTGAGGATCTGGGGGCAGGAAGTGGTCACTTGGCCCCACCTCCTCCAGTCCTGCTACCCTGGGCTCCTCAAAAGCCTCTGGCTGGGGGGGCTGTCCACCATACATTGCTCCTCCAGGTGGGAACAGTCCCTCAGGACCCTGAGACTGTTCCTCTGACACATCAGGCTCCTCATCGGAAATCACAATAGCTTCTACTTTCACCTGGACCAGCTCGGCTTCTGCTGGGGTGGGAGCCTGGGATGGAACTGGGGCTGGGATCTGTGCTGCAGCTGAAGCTGGGGGATAGAAGCCTTGTAATGGTCCTTCAGTACCCCTTGGTTCTACCACCCTCAGACTCTCAGAACCCACATCAAGGGGAGCCAGTGGCTCCACTGAAACTGTTGGGAGGCCAGAAGAGAAGTAGTTTGCAGGAACTGTCTCTGTGGAGCTACTGGGGCTGGCAAGAGAGACATCAGCCACGGGTGGAGGAGGTGCCCGTAGATTCGACGAGTCAACCTCCATGCCAGGTTGTGTAGTGTCAGCCCCACCAGGCATTGGGAGCTCATTCGGAAGACAGACAGTAGGTGAGGGAGCCGCAGGGCCTTTCCATTCCCCTTTGGCCCAATGGCCTGATGCCTCAGCAGATGCCAAGGAAGGCTGGGGACCACGGGAAGTACTGGACAAAAACTCCAAACTGAGGGGCTGTGAGCTGGTTTCCTCCTCCTTTTTGGTACTGTCCGCCTCTGCCAGGGCCCGGGCTTGCAGCCGCCGCTTACACACCTTGACGATGTCATTCATGTGCAAGTAGCTGGCAGCTGCCAGTATGTCTTCCACAGGGGTATCCCCTCTCAAGACCAGCTGGCCAGCATACATAAAGTCCAGAAGCAACCCAAAGGCTGGGGCCGTGACAATCTCGTTGTGGATACACACCAGATCCCTCTTGTCCAGTTCTCGTTCTTTGTAGAAAAGCTGGAAGAATGGGCTGCAGGAGGCCAGCACAGCCCGATGGGCCAAGAACTGGGTGCTACCCACCATCACGGTGCAGTCACAAAGGAAACCCTGGGACCGCTGCTCTCGGAGGCTCTGCAGCAGCTGCTGGCTGTGTTCTGGGAACTCCATAGCACCCCACGAAGGGAAAGCCCCTAGAAAAGTCCCCACCAGTAGCTCCCTGGGAAGAGAGGGCAGTGGGTTAGGGCAGGTAACCTCTCCAAGAAACCTTAGCGACAGCCCTGAAGCTATCACTTGCCACCCCCAAAACTCTGGCAACACCGTCCTGACCACAAGACGCTCGCTTAAATTACAACCCTTCTTTCTCCTAAGTCACACCCACTAGTCTCCTTTTAGCTCCGCCTCCTGGTTTAACCGTAGAAGCAGACCCCGCCCAGTTCACAAAGCCCCTCCCAGGAAGTCCCGCCCCCTAACCAGCCTCCGCTTCCTCGATGCCCACCCGGTAGATTCCAAAGCTCTTCCAACTAAGAGTGTCTTTCCCTCCCAGGCCTTCCCGGGTGATACCTCTACGCCCCACTCCGGGAACTCCCTGAGCCTCTCTCTGTCGCATTCCAGGGACTAAGAAGTCCCAGGGTGGGAACTAGTAGAGAAAGCTGATCCCTCACCCACCACCGAGCAGCTACTGGGTGAACTCCGCCCCCTCCCACCTTCTCAGTTGCAATTGGCTCAAGTTTGTCTTCCTTTGTCACGGATTGGTTCACTATCCACTAACTAGCCTCCCTCTTTGAACGGCGTCTGTAAGTGGGTACTGGTGGCCGTCGCTCAGGCAGCTAGGCGCTCGATTGGATAGAACTCCTGTCCTAAACTTTCCCTCCTCTTCCCGCCTTCTTTGCCTCAAAGCCCTCTGGATTGGATGAGCTTCTCTATTTACCTGAAGCGTTAGGAGGGTGGGGACCGCGCGTCCAGGTCGCTGAGCGCGACTCCTTCGCGTCTGGGCACGAGGCACTTCGCCTCGCAGTGTTGTACTTTAGCGGACAGCACGTCACGTTCGCTGCAAGGTGACCGGGATAAAGAGAACCAGCAACCTAGTGTGGTACCCAGGAGGCCCGGGTTTTAGACCCAGCTCTGCTGTAACCGTGGGCAATAGCTACACCTCTCTGAACTGCAGTTGTCTCTTGAAGGTTCCTTACACACTCAAAAATCCCAAGGTACCCTAGTGCTTCACTCCCTCAAATCTGATGGTTCGGACTCCCGACCCAGTAATGGTGGTGGCAGAGAACTAGCAGTTGTGTGAATGCTGTCAGTGTGTCCGTAGCCTGAACTCTATAATCAGTTTACAATGAAGAGATTGCAGTGTCCTCTGTGTCTGGAGCATACTGAGCAGGTGCTTATAGGAAGAGAGGAAGTGGGCTCAAGGCCTTAATATACTGCAAGACAGGAGA